CACGAAGTGTATGGCCCGGTGGTTACGGTATGGATTGGAAACTTTCCATTTGTGTTTATTTGTGATCTGGATATTGCACGGGAGGGCTTTGGCAAATGGGAATTAACAGGTCGACCCCCATCACAATTTGGTAAGATAAAATTTATGCAATATTAAGTAAGTGAATTTTTATTTAAAATATAATTGATGCAGGTAGCATTTTAAGCAACGCCAGTCACCATGGCATCATATTCAATGAAAATCTTAAGAGTTGGGAAAGTTTGAGACAAGTCGCTCAAACTGCCATTAGGTTTGTAATTATTATGCTTAAATTTTATATAATTAAAATATGACTAAATTAAAAAAAATAAAATGATGGTCTTGTAGAAAATACTCAAAAAGCGATAATTTAGCAAAAATAGTGGACTCCAGTGTAACGGAAATGATGGCACTTTTGATTAGTAGAGAGGGTCTGAATAAGCCGTTTACCCCGAACATATATTTATATAATATGTTTGCTAATATAATTGGGACGACTATTTTCAGTGAAAAGTATGTACTGTAATATGTTATTTAAATACTACACAATCAGTGATTATCAACATTGATTATCTTGAATAACACATTTAATTTCAAATATAACAAGTTTTAATTAATGGGACGACTATTTTCAGTGAAAAGTATGTACTGTAATATGTTATTTAAATACTATACAATCAGTGATTATGAACATTGATTATTTTGAATAACACATTTAATTTCAAATATAACAAGTTTTAATTACTTTACAAATTTGAATGATCAGGTTCAATATCGAGAACGTAGAGTTGAAAAAGTTTAAATATTGTTCAACTGACTTTCTACCGGACCTAGGGAACTCCATGTATCTCTATGAGTTCATACCATTGTTGCGACCTTTTATGAAAAATCCGTTGGATTTATATCAGAGCTATTTCACCGAAATCAAGGACTACACGAGAAATATATACAAAACACATGAGAATACATACGATAAGGACATAAACCGAGACTTTTGTGATGTACTCATCGCCGCCAAACTGAAAGCCATTTGCGAGGACAGGGAGTCGGCCCAGTATTTTACAGATGAAAACCTATCCTCCGTTATGATCGACCTGTTTATTGGTATTTTGTGATTGTTCATAATTTATACATAAAAATATAGTTAAATAATTGTTTTTATAATAATGGAAATTAAAGCCGGAGTCGAAACATCAATGACAACACTTTTATGGATGATATTATTGATGATACGTAACCCAAATATACAACAAAAGTTGCGAGATGAGATTCATGAGAAGCTTAATGACAATGTTCCTGTCATAAGTGACAAGGTTAACTTAGATTATGTCATGGCGTATATAAGCGAAACTTTAAGGTATAAAAATGCCGTACCAATTGGCGTATTTCATAGGGCTATTTCGTCCACCAAAATAGGTATGATACTTCAATGTGCAAGCTCAAATTAACTTTAGTTATATTATTCGTTGCATTATTAAAAAAATTTAGGGAACAGGTATCCAATTCCGGCAAATACATACGTTATAGTGGACCAAGGTTGTATTTTAATGGATGAGAATAACTGGAAAAATGCCGACCAATTTAACCCGGATCGCTTTCTAGATGACCAGGGTAAATATGGTACTGTCAAACCGGCTGCATTCATACCATTTAGTACGGGTCGTCGTGTATGCCCTGGTGAACCAATGGCTATAACAGACTTGTTTTTAATCCTGGTCAGAATTATTCAGTTGACAAATGATTATGAATTGAAATTGGTGAATGAGGATACAGTGACATTAGATCCTGAGCCTAGCGTATTGCTCACCCAAACTCCCATGAGTTTTAAGATTGTGTTAAAAAACAAAATTTAATATAAATTACATGGGTCAAACCCGATTATTACATAATATCTTGACAATAGTTATTTTAAATTATAAGAATATTGGTTTAAATTCAAATTGATTTGCACTGGTACTTAATTTTTAATTGATAAGTTATATCACTGCAGTAATAATAATTGCAAATAAACGTGTGCTGTATTCAGTTAACGTTCTCTATAAACAAAAGCTAACATTTAAGTTGAAATATTGCCAGTGACAATTTAAAATTCCTTAATTATAATCATCAATGTACTGTACTATAAAGCCAAGTGCTGAAAGCTTAAATTACTTTAATATTTAATATGTATTTTAATTATAAAAAGAAATGATAAATAAAGTAAGTACTGTATGATTTTTTATAAAATGAAATTAAATCCTTGAACACTTATAGCCATTTATTTTGTAAAAATTTACTTCATAATAAACAACATAAAAACTAGTTTTTATTTAATTTTATAATTTATAATAAATATTATTTTAAAAATACTGCATTTACGTACCGTATTTATGATTACGATTATTTACGATATTTATGATTATTCTTATGATTACAGAATTGATAAGTTGATAAGCGTGAAGGCTATTTTTGTTTTTGAGATAATTTTATTTTAGATATTTCAATTCTAATTCTCATTAAAATACATCATTATAATCAAGATTAAAATTGTCACACCTTTGTTACCAAACTAATATTTTAAAATATATCTTCCATTAATTTTAAATTTGTTTGCAATCTTTTGGCAATATACTGATTTTGAAACCCCAAGATACTAAAAGCATAAAATCTAATAAACAATATCTTTTAAAGTAATCATATATTTAACTCGATGTAAAACTTAAAAATATAAATTAATTTACAATTATAATAAATATAATGTAATATTTATTTTAATTAAAATTTTTAATTTAATCTATTCTGTTATATCAATTCATGTTTCATTACAATGGTATTTGAATAATCCACTAAATAAACATGATATTAAATTAATTCATAGTTATTTATTAAAATAATATTTGTTTAACCAAAACTTGAAACGAATTACAACTACTTTAAAATTAAAATTTAAAATATTTTATAAAACATAATAAGAAAAGTAAGCTGAAAAGGTTTTTCATTAAATGATGTTTTTGTAAATTTAATTAAGTTAATAATGAATAGAAATTGTAAGCAATTTGTTATTTATAAATCGTTATCCTTTAAAAATAATTAATAAAATACATTATTTCAGATTATATTGGCTATCATGGTGACTTATAAAACTACCAGTGACACTCGCAAATTGGAACCTAAAAGTTGCAACTATATTATTAATACTAGCCAGGATAAACAAACAATTAAATACGATCAAGCTCAAATCAATTGCCCAAATCAATTGATAATGGATTTAACTAATAGTCAATGTGTTTGTCAGCACTACGCTAATGGCATAAGAGATATAACATGTATGGGAACGGGACCTTTGGATCTTTATGATATGTTTTCAAATTTAAGCCAGTACAAACATATATACAATCATTATTATAACAGTTTTTACTTACACAATACCTACATTCAAGTATTACCGGGTAATGTATTTTCTGACATCAAATTCCGTACAGTAATCGTCGAAAACGCATACAATTTAACCCAAATTCACCCTGATGCATTTATGCATAACATGGATTACACAAGATTTTTGCACATTATTAATACGCCAATCTATAATAATCATATTTACAGACATTATGCCTATGCAGCTATTACTACATTAAAGGGTCTGGTATATTTACAATTATTCAATACAAGTATCTCCATTATTCCGGACAATGCGCTCAAAGGGTTACTAAGATTGTCGACAATCTCGGTGTCATATTCTGTACACAGAATCGAGAGAAATGCGTTCAAGAATTTGATTAGTTTACGGAATATTGAATTGACTTATAATGATATCCAGGTCATCGAAAATAAGGCATTTGATTTGCAGCAATATATTTGCGATCAGCGATTGAATGTATATCTCAGATATAATACCTGGAAAACTGATTCATTCATATTTGGTGCCTTTGAATACAACACACGACCGATAAGTTTGGCGTTAATGCTTACAAATAATGGGTCCTATTATGACAAGTTTTGTGTGTATTTTTTGTTGCAAAATAAGTTTAATAAAGTCTTGTGACTTTATATTAAGTTACAATATAATGATATTAACTAAAATTATCTGATTCTGTATATTTTTATTTTCATGCAAAGTATAAATAATATTTAATTATAAATAAGTTACTTAATTAATAGTTGTAAACTTATAATACTTGTAAACACATGTAATCTTTACTTTAAAATTTATTTTTTTAAAACTTAAAAATAAAAGTTTTTGTATTGGTACACATTAAGTACACAAAAAATGCTATACAGTGTTTGGCGGATCAATAGTATCGCCAATGACTACCAATATTACCGGTGCGACCATTCATAACATACACACCGCACACACCTCAGACAATCCCTGTGCGTATGTGCTGTTCAGTATCATAGGTATGGTATGGCATGCGATGTCATAAAAATAGCATTTAGTATACATAACTCGATATATGAATCAAAACAATGCATAAAAATTATGTTTATATTTTGAGATAATATTTATGTAAAAATGTTGTGTCAAATCACAGTCATTGACTCATATAATCATATGACAATATTTTAATATATTCTACAATTGTTGTAAGTATGATTTATATTTTCCAAATTTATTTAATTAACATTAAATTTATAAGTTGTTATAATTTTTACTTGTTTATGAGTAAATAATTTGGTATAAATTTGAATAATCTACATTAATATTTTAATTATTTAATTATAAATATATAATTAATTTATATTTAAAATATCATCTTATTTTAGTTAAATTGTGTTAATATGAACTTATCGGTGTATTTCTAGAAAATAGACGTTTGAATACAAAATAATGTAACTAACAATTTGAAAATTATTTACAATACTATTAATAGATATTCACTGCTGTATACTAGTAACTGTATAATTAATACTTTTTAGAAAATTCTATATGTCTAGAATATTATAAATAATCTCTATGTATGTGAATGAAAGAGTTAATTAGAATGTATATTTGTGTGAGTGAGTGAGTCTGTGTGGGTCTGTGTGTGTGTGTGTGTGTATGAGAGAGAGAGAGAGAGAGAGAGAGAATTTCTTATCAATATTGCAATTTATACATAATTTATTTAATATGAAGATATTCATAATAAGAATTGTAAACTATTGCAATTAATTTTATACATTTAAGACATTTTATAAAATGTATGTACTAATAGTTATTATAAGTTGTAATTTAACATAATTTTGTATAAGTACTGAATATCTACTGTAAATGAGTGTTTAAGTATAAAAATATAATTTTCACTTTTTTCATAAATAGCAATTGTGAAATGGTGACATTTATTTATATACCGGTGCTCAAATATAATGAAAGTTCCGGTCCTTATAATTATAATCGGGGACAGGAAATTGAATTTATATCAACTTTAATATGAGAGTGTATTCACTATCAGAGAAAATATAATTATGTTTATAATATAAGAATTAATTGATTATAAAAATTAGTTCATTTAATGATTTCACAATAATTGCAAATTTTGGTCACAAATAATTAATTTCAATATTAATCTAATGGACAATATTGTGTAATGAAATATGAAAAATATTTGTTTTTACTTAGCGTTTACATTTGAATACAGTTAATATTTTAGTGTATTATATTTATAGATACAGTGTATACTATATACTGTATAGAGTACTCAGTTTAGTACTAAAATATAATTAATGATAAATTATTTTAGCAATTGTATTTTAATGCAATTTTACTTTTTAAATGTCAAAATCAAAGTAAAGATATTCTAACTTAACATTAATATTTTACAAATGGTAACGTGATACTTTGTTGAATATCTGAAATGTTTAGTAAATGTAAAGTTAACCCTAAAACTAAGAAGAATGATTATCTATATTATCTAGATTCTATAAAAAATATTTTTTCAAAAAATACTAAAATATTGTATACCGGTACATAAATTTTTAACAAAAAATATTCTAATCATCTTGTAAATGATTATTTCACTTATGATAAACGACATAATTGTGAAGGTTTGTTGAATTTAGTATAAATAATTTATTTTCTAGTTAATAGTAAAATATTTTATAAATGATTGAGAGTTTTTCATTTTAAATAAATAATATTATAGAAAAAGCTTTGAAACAGAAAAGTATTTGGTACCATTAATGTGATATAATAATTATTATTATATAATGCTATTATGTATTGCATTAAAAGTCACTTATTTATAGTGAAATCGATTATTAGTACACTAACTAAATGTGTGTGTATTTTATATATTAACCTAATATTTAACTTATATTTTTCGTTTGAAATTCATTATTAATGTACCAATACTTAAGAAATGATGAATATTTTTTATACGTTGTCTATATTTATGTGTTATATGCCCTAAATTATAGCACAAATTTAATGTAGGACTATTTATACAACTAAGACAATTAGTCAAACATTAAATTTGTTTTTTGTGTACATTTTATAATAGGTATTCTTTAATATCATACCATGAACAATTACATAAATATTTGATTTTAAATTATGTTGTCTGAAATTTAATGTTTTTGAAATGTATAATAATATTTTTATTTGTTTTTAACGTATATTTATTTTCTCTAAATATAGATATCTGTCGTAAATAATGACCGATAATTCAAAGTCTGCGGAAAAGTATAATCGACGACCAAACTCATCCAGGTTTCCACCGATTGTGAACCCAAATGGACAGTCATTGCGGCGGATAAGGAGTGCCTCATTTGACAACTCATTTTCCACTACTAATGACATAAAACTCGATAATGTATTGAATGCTAAACACATGAACTTATCATTAGATTTCGATCAACGTATAGATAGCTATGAATTAT